AAAAAAAAAAAAAACACACCCCATACCCTCTACACACACACACACACACACACACACACACACACACACACACGAAGAAGGAGAAGCTTACATGAGATCATTTTTTTTAACATGATTTTTATCATGTTTGGAAATCTTTAAACTTTGCTTTTATTCAGAAAGAGGTAATTAACAATCTGATTGTTGTTGGAGGTGCTATAGGTATTTCCCATGTGTGTTTTGTGCTACTTGTGAAAGAGCTGCTGTGTCAGCAGTCTTTCTGTGAAAAGCTAATAGCTCCTTCCCTCTAGAGTTGGAGTGATGGATGGATTTCTACTGCCTCCTCTGAGCCCATCCCTGGAAGGTGTGTTTATTTATTTATTTATTTTTTTTTCTGGAAGGTATGTTTAAGGGTAGACTTGCTCATGTGTGAGCATCTGCCTATAGAGAAATCTGAACCTTAGTATGCTGAGGGTATTTTCTTGTGCACACCCCAGGAGCACTGGGGGATCAAAGATGATAGTTTATGTGTTAAGTCAACTACATAGCCTGCTGGCGTTTGCATGCTTTGTGCTTGTGACTTGGTTCATCTGCTACCATTCCCTTTTTTGTTTTTAAAATTGTTAATACTCTCTGGGCTGGGGATTTGGCTTAGTGTTTCCACCACCGGCCTTGCAAGCACAAGGTCCTGAGTTCAATCCCTGGTACCAAAAAAATAATAATAATAATACTTTCTGATTATCACAAACTGGTCAAATTGTCTGCAGTACTTTAAGGATTGTGGTTCTATGGGATTAATTTTGTCTTCTTGTGCAGTGATTGGTTTTCCTAAGCATATTGATCAGATGGAGCTGCCTTGATTTACACGTCAGTGAAAGAAGAGAAAAACCTCGACTTGTTGTATAAGTACATTGTTCATAAAACATATGGTTTCCACTTTGCCACACCTGCCTTAGTTGTGGAAAAGGATGCAGTTTTTATGTGAGTTCTAAAGAGGTGATGTTTTTAACCCTTTCTTTTTATCGCACATTTACTACTTAACATTTTATGCTTTAATGTAAGATGCCTTCCATCTGTGTCTTATGCAGCAAGTTCCCTTGCTATTGTGGGGAAAGGGCACGAACTGGACATGAGACTTTCCCTCTCTGCTCCTCCTAAATTATGAGGCATTCTGCCCGAGGGGAATGAGTGGTGTGGTTAAGGCTACTGCTTTTCTTCATTGAGAACAAGTTACCAAACAACTTGGCCATTTGATTGTAACTGGTAAAGTATTGGCTGAGGGAGAGAGCTGAAAAAATAGAGGATTTTACTTTAGGGATTTTATGTTTGCGGGGGGTGTTTTACTTTAGGGATTCTAAATAACTCCTGTTAGAACATCTAGTTCCTTTGCCCATTAGCAGAGGTAATAGTAAACGTCCTCCTCGGCCCTGTCATGTGGTTTTGGTGGTGCTGAGTGCTTATTTCATTCCAGAATTTCAGCATTTATTTCTAACCATAGGGATTGATTGTCCTGCCAGAGAGTTGGATATCTGTCTTCCCGAGTTTTTTTCTCACATTATAGAATCATGTTGCTGGATTCATAAATAAATGATGAAGCAGGGCTGGGGATTTAGCTCAGTGGTTCCGGCGCCTGCTTCACAAGCACAAAGACCCGAGTTCAATTCCCAGTACCAAAAAAAAAAGAAAGAAAAAAAAGTGATGAAGCTGTAGTCTGAGAGCACTTGTGTTAGCAAATTGATGTTTGGGGTTACCTACCTTAACAGTTACATTTGTCCATTTAGCAAGCCTTACTCAGCACCTCTTAGGTGTCAGGTTCTCTGCTAGGGACACAGAGATGAATGAGATGTTCCTGCTACAGCATTGAAAAAGAGAGACACAGCTGAAGAGAAGGGCAGCAGTGGGCTAGTGGAGGAAGTGGCAGGAAGGGCAGAGGAGGTTATGCTGAGAAATGCATGGTATGTCCCAGACAGCCACAGAAGAGGTTAGGTGCAGTCAGAGACTGGAGGTGTGAGTCCCAGGGGTCTAAGGAACTGAATAGATTACCTCCACCATATTGGAGAAGAGCCTCCTTTGGGCTGTTGGCAGACAGCAAAACTGCTTTTGGAGAATCATCCCTAGCAGTCAGCAACGAAAGGCACAAGCTCAGTGAGTGGTATGTTTTTGGAATTTCTTAGTGCCCACATGACGTGATCCTGAGAATTAGGGAGTCTGGTTAGATTTGGGAATGGTCTGGAATAGAAACAACCTCTTGTGGCTGCTGAAGGCTGCTTGTGTCGTGGCAGTGTCTCTATCCTGCCCTATCCTTTTGTACCTTTGGGTCTGTTGATAGTTGCTTATATGGGGACTATTAAAATTAGCGAAGCCGTTTGGGGAACCCTGGCTGTATCCTCTTGGTTATAGGCCTGTAATCAGGAGGTTTGGGAAAAATGAGAGTCTTGTGAGAACAGTTGCCATCTTTCAGTGCTCGAGTTCAAAAGTGTCAAGTAGGATACTACAATTGCTACCTTTGTGAGAGTTGGATGGGGATAGTAGGCTGCAGCTCAGCCTACTGGAAGCCAGGTCGCCTTTGCCCTGTGATGTTAAGGTGATGTGTAGGGGCCCATGTGGTTTGGGGCCCAGGATGGATGCAGGCCCTGTTTGCCCCTTGGCTCCAAGCCATATCAAAGTCAGTGAACCTCTCAACAGATAACTGTTAGGAGAGTTCTCAGAGAGAGAGAGAGAGAGAGAGAGCTCATTAGAGGGGCACCTCCATACCAATGCCCAGGAGAAACATTCCCCTTGGGTTTTGTCCATCCTCTGTGCTATTATACATTTTTCTTCCTTGGGCAAGGACTCCACTGGGCTATTGTTAGCATTGTGTGGTAGCTCTGAACACGTACACCAGGGCTGCACATGGTCAGTCAGCTCTCACACTGGCTTCTTAGGCCTGGAGCTCATAAGCTCTGTACAAAGCAGGGCCTGCCCTGCTGATCTGATGGGGTGTCCCTGCTGTGGACTTTACCATATGTGTCTAAAGCTATAAGCTACTCAGCAGTTACAGGCCAGATCTTATGGGGAAGAACACCCAGGAATCCTTTCTAACAAAATGTGCTCTGGGCCAGGGTTTCAGCTCAGTGGCACCACACCTGCCTCACAAGCGCAAGGTACCGGGGGAAAAAAAAATGTGCTCTATACTGTCATTAGCAGTCTCAGGAAAAGAAAGCCAATACCTGTCTCTTTGCCTTAGACCTGCAGGCTGGGACAATGAAAAGAAAATAGCTATTTTACATGAAAATTTCACAAGTGTGAAACCAGAAGATGCATATGAAGATTTTATTGTGAAACCTCCTGTAAGAAAGGTATCCAAATCAATCACTTAAGAGTCCAGGTGTTTTTTTAAATGAGGGGGTGGTGGTGCTGTAAAAAAACAGTAATCCAGAGGTCTTTTTGTTAGTCTTTAAATGAGGTCTTGTGTTTTGTGAATGGCTCGGGGTAGGATGTAAGTGATGATGTGCCCACATGGAGCTAAGTAGCATTTCCCTTGAAGTCTCATCAGTGCTGCTGCCACCTCTAGATGCTGTTAAATCCTCTCCTGAGAGCTACTAAAGCTTCTGTAGGAACCTATGAGACTTAAAGATATCAATTAGCTACATAGAACAGCCAGTTTGGGGAGAAGGTCTCTGCTAGACTGGAAAGATTAACTGTAGTCTCAGAAAGGACCCTTCAGACACGTGTAGAAGCCTGAGTACAAGATTCTTTTTGCAGCTTGAATTTTGACAGTCACGTGGGGTGGTTTTGGCCTATGGCCACAAATGTGTATGTTGCTTTACAGCTGGTCCATGACAAAGAGTTGGCAGCAGAGGATGAGCAGGTGTTCCTAATGAAGCAGCAGGTAAGAAGACAGTGACATTTGAACAGAGGCCTTCTCCTGTATGTAGTGGCAATTCCCTAGGAGGGTGGGAGCTATCTGCATATGGGAATCACAGTGGGCTGAGCTGCAGGGGCTGAGATTGGGACTCCAAGCTCCTTCCTCTTTCTAGGATTTGCAGGTGTTCGACCACCTGCCTCAGAATGTCTGTCTGCCACTGCCTTGCAGATTTCTCCTGCAGGACTAGGCTTAGTACAGTGGTGGCAAACCTATGGTGCATATGCCGAAGCTGGCTATTGGTATCATTGAAAGCTCTAAAAGGTTCACCATCACTGACTTAGTATCTTTTAGAGTGCCTTTTCTCTGAAAAGTTGGTTTTTCTGGCACACTTCTTGAGTTGACAGATTTTACCATGTGACCTAGTCACAATTCCTTTATTTCACACAATTCTCCAAAGCCTGGTGCACAAAGACAGGTAGTGTCCATTTTGTAGGTGAGGACAGTAATATAAAGCCAGTCTAACATTTCTCTCTCACCTGACGTGTCATGAGTCTGCCTGAGGGTACAGGCAGGTCCCACACACAAGTTGTCCCGCCCCCTACTTGCTGGGGATTGAATTTAGGACCTTGCACTTGGCAGCAGTGTGGCACTACTAGCTACATCCCTGGCTCTCAGAAGGTTTTGACAGTTCTTTTTCCGATGTTTCCACCTTTCTATGTCCTGCTTGCTTCCTTAGCTTTAAATGGCTATCAGAATATTCTACTTTTTCACCATGTAACCAACTGCTCTGTATGGATAGGTTTTTTTGGCTTAGTGGTTGTCAGTGGCACCCTCTAGTGGAGTAGTAGCAGTTAAGTTTTTCTCCAAACTTCAGTAAACTCTGCAGGTCTTAGTTAATAGCCAGTTTGTCCCTCTCTTTGCAGTCACTCCTTGCCAAGCAGCCGGCCACGCCCACAAGAGCCTCTGTGAGTACCTTATGCCAAACAGTCATGGCCCAGTGTTGTGGGTGTCTGTGGACTTTATACTCTTATTTGTGAGAATTTAAGTCTATGTAGGCTTTTGTATTCTCAAAGAGAGTTTGGTCTCCCAAAGGCCCATGGCCAGGAGCATGGTAGAATCTCAGGAAATGTTTGATGAAGCACTGTTGCCAAGAATCAGAGTGAGCTGGTTTTATTACCTTGTTATCTTTTCTCTTAGGAGAAACTGAGCTCTAGAAAGGGACTAATTTGGGAGCACAGTCTTAGTTCTGTATCCTGGACTGGAAAATGTCCTGCAGAAGCTTGTCTTCATTTTTAGAATTTTATTTTCTGTTACCATACTTTTATGCTTGTGTATGACCTAGACTGTTTTTGGAATTAGGAATCCCCTGCAAGAGGACCCTCTGGCTCTCCAAGGACTCAGGGCCGGGGAGGGCCGGCCAGTGTGCCAAGCGCCTCCCCAGGAACATCAGTAAAGAAGCCAGACCCAAACATCAAAAGTATGTATCCTGCTCTGGAGAGTGCTTTAGTCCTAGTTCTGAGTCCTGGAGGGATGGCTGGGTCTCAGGTGGAAACCAGAAAGGCTGAGGCCTGTGTTCTTCCCTGAGATAGGCTGCTTTCTGCCTCCTCCCCCGCAAAGGGTGGGACCGTGGAGGCATAGACCAGGCCCTGACCCTTTGTTGGAATTGGTAGTCTAGCCAGCTAGCATTGTATAACACCTCATTTACACCTTGCAGTTGCCTTCAGAAGGAAACGAAAAATGGGAAGTGATTTTTAAAATACATATTTTGAATCCTAATGTCATATCTCATAGTATTACTATTTTGGGTTGTGGAATTATTTTTCTCTTTTACTGCTTTTGGCAGTCTGAATTACTAGTTTTAGCAGCTATTATCCCAGTGTCTTAATACTTGCATGTTTGGTGAGCATCTTCTACTTAGGATATGAGCTGTTCATAGCAGGCTGAGAGTGCTGTGGGCTTAAGAAACTGAAAAACAAAGGACATCTTGAGCACAGGTTAATCTTTATGCCCCCAAACAGATGGGAAATGCATTTCCACTTAGTAATTATGCTAACACGTAATTAGCCCTAACAGTGGTGATATGTAAAGAGTCCTAGTAAATGAATAGGATCTGAATGGGATCAGTGTCCTAAGAAGATGATAGCTACAAATGCCAAATTCTAAGCTGAGAACTATTTTTTTGTTCTAATTCATTCAGTTTGTATAATGCTCTTTTTTTGTTTCCTTAGATAATGCAGCAAGTGAAGGGGTGTTGGCCAGCTTCTTCAATAGTCTTTTGAGTAAAAAAACAGGTTCTCCTGGAAGTCCAGGTGCTGGTGGTGTACAGAGCACAGCCAAGAAGTCAGGTACAGAGGGCCCCTCCAAGGCTTATGATCCTTGTGTCTGAGCAGTGCTAGACAGATGGGGTAGACAGGAGATTGTGCCTTTATGTGACCTGCAGACCATCAGCAGCATTGTGAACAGCTCTGTACAGAAGTCGATTTGTATTTTACACTGAGCAGGTTGCCATGCTTTTGGTGGGGTTGTCTTCTTAGCATGCAGCTTTCCTTCACACATTTAGCATATTCCCAATGGCTCATACCACCTGATGGGGCTCTGCCATGCTGCCCAGTGGAACAGTTGTGTATGTACCACCAGTGGTTCAGAGCCACCCCCTGGCGAGACATACAACTTAACTGTCCCATTGTGAATGTGTTAAAGTCAGGTTCACATACATTCAAGTTGTTGGGTGCGTTGAGGTATAACCGAAATTGTACTTACGAACTTGGTCAGGCAGCCATGTCCAACCTACAGCCCACCTTTATTATGGCCTTGTTTTTTTTTAATGTTATGATTTTAAAATATTTTTAAAGTTTTGTTATGTACATTAACTATATTGTATATTTTATATGTGGCCCAAGACAGTTCCTCTTAACTCAGAAAAATGAGGCCACAAAAAGGTGGGCTGCAGGTTAGACATGCAGTATATTATTGCCATTTTATTTGTCCTTTTCATTTTCTGCGATGCTTTAAAAAGATTTTTGTTCCTTCCACTGTCCCTAGTCTTACTGAGAGCTGAAGCCTGTGACTGAGCCCTCACTCTTTCAGTCAGGGGGTCATTGTTTCCTCCTCTAAACTCTACAGTGGCCCATCCACTTGACCTTGCATATAGGCTGGTATGGGACAAGTCTGTCTTGGAGATCTCTGAAACAAAAGAACCAAGTTCCTTGGGAATTAATTACATATATCCTCAGGAAGCTGGAAGATGAGATGGTGTGTCTGGGTATCAGAACAGGGTCTCACTTACACTGGGCAAGCAGTGGCGAATGTTTTGAAAGGTTTTTCTGCTTTTAAATTTCCATTGGTTATAAAGTATATTAATACAGTGTTTTTCCTGATGTATTTCCAAGCAGAGGGTCCCTTAGGAGATCATTCTATCCTTAGGGAATTCTGGCCTCCAGACTGTTAAGAGACTCAGGGTCTTGTCTGGTGGTGGTAGGTATGGTCTAGTTTTTTCTTGTGTGTTTTTTTTCCCCCCCAGAGATACAGATCATTTTTCAGATCCCAGTTGGTGTTTGACAACAGAAAAATATGAGCACCAACTGTGCACCTGAACTTCATGGTGTTGGTCTTCTTATTGAAGCACAGTATTTCCAGGCTCTCCTTGAAAGTCAGTCTGGACTACAGAGTGTTGTAATTAGGAACAAAATCTGATTACTTGTTTGGAGCAAAGAAAGTACTCTGTGGCATGCCTGAAACTCCAGTACCCACCACTAGCAAGATGGCAGAGTGCACAGGGGTTAGAATTGGGGGATGAGGGGGTTTTGAGAAAGGCCCTTTCATTTGGTACAAAGGCACCCTCTGCCAAAGGCAGCCACATAGCTGGGGAAGTTTAGACCGTGACATTGGGAATATGAAGGGTTAAGTGAGAGTCTGCCTTGTGATCCTAGGGAAGAAAGGTTACTATCACCATGAATGTTTACATAAGTCTGTATAATTTTAAATGTTTCACTTAAAAAATTATCTTCTGTTTTCACATTGCTGCTTTGCTTTTTCTCCCCTTTGTTAAGGACAAAAGACTGTGTTGTCAAATGTTCAGGAAGAACTGGATAGAATGACTCGAAAACCAGACTCCATGGTAACAAACTCTTCAACAGAAAACGAAGCCTGATCCTCCTTAAAAATGCACATGTCAAATGACCAAATAACTATGTATATTGATCTGCTAAGACCAGGATTTTTCTGATATGGCACATGCTATCAGTTTTTTGGGGTAGGGGAGATGAACTTTAAAAAATACTTCATTGGCTTGTCCCAAGTGTGAAATGCACATTTTGGAAGGTTGTGTCAGACCCCTTATTAAGGATAACCCACTCTTCAGGCATGTAGCTGTCGCATGGGAAGAGCACAGCTGGGCTTGTAGAGAAGAGAAGGGGGCCCACTTTCCATCAGAGTGGAGCAGATGAGACCAGGAAATCATTAATCAGATGATGGTTAGTTTGACCAGTTGTGTGTTAGCAAATTCACTTGTTCTTGGGAAGCAGATTAAGTAGCAGAAAGTCCAGGAAAGAAAGATTGAAAGGAGAAATGAGAGAAGTGATGTGGGGAAGCTGAATGTTGAGGGAGGCGGAGGAAGGAGGAGATAAGCAGTGTTAGTAAATACTGTGCTCAGTAGAGTCAAATAATCATTGTTTAAGACTTAAAATTAGAAGCATTTCTAAGCTAAACACTAAGCAAAATGGGAATTAGACTTGTCCTGAAGGCATCTTTTTAATTTATGGAAGATGTGTTAAGTGTGGGGTGCCTGAGTCATGTGGGGCTGACACGAGGGTGGGGAGAATGGCAGCTGCCCAGGACCCACATGCTTGGCCTAGGCCATGTGCCCGGGGAGAGCCTGGGCTCCATACATTTGCATTGTAGGGCAGGTAGTCACTGGGTTGTGTCAAAGTCAGCAGATACAATATTAATTTATGTTTTCTAAATAGTTCCTGCTTTGTTTTTTAAATTGTTTTTGTTTTACTACCACAGGCTGGCCTACTAATAGAAAATGGGTGATCGACCTCTCATTTTATCATAATGCAGTGTGTTACAGAAAGTTTGGGTGAGGTTGTGAATGTCACTGTACTCTGGTTAATTGGCTTGCACCAGTCCCTGCCTTATAGTCTGTGGAAACCTTTATTGAGTTCCACTAATGTAAAAGGATCTTGTCCCAGCACCCTGGTCTGATCAGTGCTATCATCTGGAGGACAAATAAGTGTGAATGCTTTATATTGAAAACGAAACAATTCTTTTGTGTTTTTCATAAAATACAGTCTTTTTTTTTCTTATGGAAATGAGAGTTTCAGATGTCTCCCCATTTAGGGCAAATTCATGCACACTGTCATGTCACACCACCATTCTGGGAATGACTTCTATGGACCTGAAATGGCACTTTGAATTTTACCTATGACACAGCATTTAAATGCAAACACTACCATGAATTTCATGTATAAGACATTTGTTGTGAAACCAAGGGAAAAACCACAGTTCACTTATGTGGAGTTTACTTTTTATATGAATGTTTGTTGTACTTTGTCTCAGCATAACTTCCCTAATGTCATTACTTTTACATACCAGATTTGACTGACCACTAACATTATATCCTGTGTTATATCACAAAACTCTTCAGACTGTCTTGAATTGCTTTTGTAAAGGTCTGAACACTGTTAAGGAGAAAGTTGTGTATTTACTTGCCTTTTTGACAAAAAGATGTTTATTGTGCCAGTTTTATTGATGAAATATACTATTTTTTTTAATTCAGCTTTTTTTTTTTTTTTTTTTTTTT